ATCCGAACAAAACCTTTCTTCAGCTCTTTCCTCTAGGCTAGGAGTGTGTGGGAGCAAATATTGGACCTGTATGAAGGTCCACCCTCCCCAGGCAGCAGATCTAGGAGCAAAGGACCTCTGGACTCCCACCCTCCCCAGGTAAAGCCCAGGAGGGAAGGATTCTTCTAGAAGGTCTCTCCAAATATTTATCCTCTTCTGTTGGAGTGTACAACATTTTCATGTACGAAAGCTGCCGAACAGATATCTTCAAATATTGATTGCATCATTGGAAGCAGAGAATAGCAAGTTAGCTTATTTCAGGAAGCCAAGGCAATTTAGATATTACATCTTCCCAACACAGTCCACATCACTGGAATGAATCTCTCAGCGATTGGCCGAGACAGAATAACTAGACCTGAAACATTGTATCTTCCCACCTTCATCTACTGGAGATCACTCAACAATGTCCATGGGTTTAGGAGAAACCTAAAGATCCCAAACAAAGCTCAGGCTGGATACAGCCAAGCTCCCAACACGAAATTAGGATAGAGAAGCTCCAGCTCTGGGTCTGGGTCCATATATTGGTATACTGTATACTGTATATATTTATGTCAGCACAGGGTCACTTTGTATGTTAAGTCATAATTGTAATACACTTACCTTTCCAGTGGCCCATTTGTTGAAATGGCTCCCCTCCGCTTCTCTTCAACCAGTCGGGTGCCTGCTCCCCGTCACACACACAGCGGTTCCTCCTGCCGGCTTTCATTTATTGGATTTTACTTCTTTCAATCATGGAGGCTCAACATCGGCATGAAGGCTCAGAATCAGAATTGCCGTTGTGAGGAAGCTTTGTACGGCCCCTCCAGCCATGATGTGCCCGCGTTCCATAGAGAAGCACATCATCGGGTCTAAAATGATCAAATAAGATAAAGCTGATACAACACGGTATTAGAAATTAGACACCACTAACACTTCCTGGGAATATACTAAGTGAATTAACAAGTGATGGCCATGCCCATATTTGGTCAATGATGTCACCCAGTATTCCCACCCCTTTGTTTACATTCAGCTGTTGGTTCAAGAATCTGCCAGCCAGCAGATGAATGGTGCCGGGGATATGTCACTGGTTGTTAGGACACCGTGGACACTGGCTTCCTAGGAACCAGTAAACCTCATCAGGAAGCTGTTACAATTGGCAGTGGGCGTAATACTTCTACTAAATGTGACTTCCCGCTGCAGCTGAGGTTCAGCTCGGTGGGAGAGCAACACCCCATTCATCAGGCAAAGTTCAGACCGAATTCTACTTCACTCCGAACCCGAATCTCATCCACACTAATGACCTCCTTGTTTTCTCCCGATCGGTAGTGGATCGGGGGTTGGGATAGCCCAGCTTCTACAATGTACAATGTGATGATCTGACGTCTGACGAGGCTTTTACTCAAGCCGTGTAAAGACGGTTAGAATTTTATTTCTAGTAGTAAGTGGTAATGGGGTCAGTTTGATGATCGACTTCACTGTACTGGCCGAAAAAAATCAAAGGAGCGGGATTCCCATTCTCGAGTGAATGAAATTCTGACAGTGAATGTGTTTTCTGTTCCGGAAACTCCATTTACTCAAATGTTACAATCAATCAAAATTTCCAAGGACATTCTACGAGTCTCTGATGGAATAATCAAATGTTCTGATTATCATATGAACATTTGTATAAAACTCTATCCGTGTATGGCCTACACTAGTCTCAGTGGTCCTAATATTGCTCTGCAAACCCTCAATTATAGGGTTCTCATCCTTCTCCCTCTCCTCATCCACCTCCTCTTCCTCTCCCTTATCCTCCTTCTTCTCCTCTTCCTCTCTCTACTCATCCTTCTGCCCTCCTCCTCATCCCCCTCTCTTTTCTCCCTCTCCTCTTCAACCTCCCATTCCTCTCCCTCCTCATCCACCTCCTCTTCCTCTCCCTTATCCTCCTTCTTCTCCTCTTCCTCTCTCTACTCATCCTTCTGCCCTCCTCCTCATCCCCCTCTCTTTTCTCCCTCTCCTCTTCAACCTCCCATTCCTCTCCCTCCTCATCCACCTCCTCTTCCTCTCCCTTATCCTCCTTCTTCTCCTCTTCCTCTCTCTACTCATCTTCCTCCTCATCCTCCTCCCCCTCTCTTTTCTCCCTCCCCTCTTCAACCTTCCCTTTTCCTTCCCCTCTTCCTCTACTATCTTATTCTTCCTCTGCTCAACCTTTTCCTCTCTCTTCCTCTCCCGTCCTCCTCCTTCTTCTCCTCTTCCTCTCTCTACTCATCCTCCTCCCCCTCTCTTTTCTCCCTCCCCTCTTCAACCTTCCCTTTTCCTTCCCCTCTTCCTCTACTATCTTATTCTTCCTCTGCTCAACCTTTTCCTCTCTCTTCCTCCCCCACCCCTCCCCCCCTCTCTTTTCTCCTTGCCCTCTTCAACTTCCTATTTTCCTTCTCCTCTTCCTCCACTATCTTCTTCTTCCTTTGTTTAAACTTTTCCTCTCCCCTCCTCCTCCTGAGGTCCAGCCGGAGGCCATCCCCCGAGGTCCAGCCGGAGGCCATCCCCCGAGGTCCAGCCAGCAGAAGCTTCATCTACACCTTCCTGTAGGCGAAACTCAAGCCTAACTCCAGCCAAAACTTTGTTCTTTCTCATCCTATGAGGCACACGGGCATTGAGAAACAGTCACGTTAGACTGCTGGGTTCAGGAGGATTGGACCCCGGCACACAGAAGAATTGTAGGCCCGCCCCCGTGACCTGGAAGGCTGGGCAACTTTTCTTCAACTGTGCTGGAATTGTCTCTTCTCAGCCTTCTGACCAAGGCGGTTATTTCCTCAGTGGGGAGATTCACCCTCCCTTTTTGTCCTGGTGAATGTTATCAGTGAAAGAAAATCACCAGAACTGTAATAGATGGGAAGTCCTCCAATGGGGCACTAGACCAGCAAGGATTTCCCTCACTTTGAAAGGATTTCCTCTCATTTCCTGTTGGACAGCAAATGAAGTGAAATCAACTCAATGGGACACAGATGGCAAAAAAAAAAAAAAACCTGGCAGATTATAACCCTCCCTTACTCTATCCAAAACTAAAAAAGGCTTCAATGCCTGAGAATCCCATACTCAGCAGTCTAGTCCTCCTCAATTTCCATTCCGGGGAATCACACCACCCACCTCACCGGGGGCACTATGTGCACCACCATCTCTCCCGCCAACCTGCATGGGCAACACTCCCACCAATACTCAAACCTGACAGCTCACATGAAGGGCGGGCATGTTGTGTTTGCCAAAGAGCTGCCAGCCACAAATGGGGTGGAGCAAATGGAGGGGCCCTCCTGCTGACCCAATGGGGCCCAGGCCCAGTACAATAATATTGCTTAGTACCAGCCTATCTGTGGCCCTGCTGACTGGAAAATTGATGCACATCAGCAGCTAATTTTTGCTCTCCAAATACAACTGTTGTTTAAAAAAACTTAATGAAAATATACAAAAGCAATTCATTGACATCATTTATACACCATGGTATAGTCCAGTGACAGGGGCGGTTCTTGGTGCATGGCATGGGGACTTTTGCTCAATCTCTGGAGCTCCTGTCCTTAAGGTTCAGAGGACTATATATTACCCTGTCCCTGGATTGCCAAATATGAATTGCCCACTGCCTGGTGCCCCCTGATATGGGTAATCCATAGTGATAGGGGCTAACAAGTGTTGTCCAGTCCTTAATACCCTCAGACCAGAGCTCCTTTTGCGCCCGAGGCAATAACAGAAAATTGTGCCCCCCCAACAGACGGTGTGCTGTATATGGCGTCATGCGCCCCGCCTCCAGGATGGTGGCGCGCATGTGCAGAATGCGCTTGTGACCGAATCCATATAGCATAAAAATTAGTTTTGTCCGAAACAAATTTTTAGTCTTTGCACATGTCTAGTAATATTTGTGCATGAATGTGTGGTTTATTGTGTGTGTTGTGGGGGGGTTGGGGTAGGGGGTGTTTGGGGGGTATTTTTTATTATCATTTTTTTTTTTACTGTTGGGGGGCTTCGGGGAACTATTGGAGGTCTAAACAGACCCCTGATATTTCCCTTTTGTACTAGAAAAAGAGATTGAGGACACAGAGTCCTCTGCCCATACAGGTAGGGGAAAGCTGCGGGGTGGCAAGGAGAAGCTGGAGTGTTGGCCGCCTGGCGCACCTGTTGCCAATTGCCGGTGCTGGCTGCGCCCCCTCTCACCTGCGCCTGAGGCGAGTGCCTCACTCGTCCCATGGTAGCTACAGCCCTGCCACAGACATAGGTATTGCCTCATACATGGTGCCTTCACCTATGTGTATTGCCGGTCTATGGTTGCCCAGGGTCATAGACATTGCTCAGTTCCTGTCAGGGCCCGGCTTTGGAAGTGTATGGTGGATCACAGCTGCGGTTCCAACTGGGTGTTTAGTGCGGTTGTCAGGCTAAAATCCCCGGCGGCTCTCTCAATCATAAACGGAGAGTTGGGGATTTAGTCATCATGGACCGCTAATAGTAAGTGGTAATAACAGTCGATGTAATTTAAGAATATTAACTCATATCCCTGATATTGGCAATCCTATCTGGAATTGTGGTATAAGCGGATGGTATAGTCTCTATGACAGATAACAGTAGATGTGACGTCACGCGGCCGTGGGCTACTTCCGCGCTCCAGCTTGGAACGCATAGTACTTTCGTCAAGCGGGAGGAGGAGTGCGGCGGTCACCGCGGCCGATGCGCCCCAGCCTGGAACGCAGTCGGGAGGAGCCAGGAACCCGTGGGACATTACAGTTCCTGGTATTCACAGACGTGTATAGTGTCCCTGTTTTCTCAGTCCCATGGCTGAGAGGAAGATATTCTGCCGGATTTTTCTTTGAATGTCACTACAATAAGTTTCTTTTTTTGCAGAAACTATCACAAAGATGAGTAAATCACACCAGGAAGAACCTCCCCCCAATTATGATTCCATCTCAGCCAACGCTCCTCCCGTGACCTACACAGTGCCATCGTATACCATAGACAGTGCAGTGATTAAAGGTGTGCCACCAGGACTCCAATGTCTGCTGCAGGTGAGATTGATCTCCATCCTCTTATCTCTGTATCCTGTCATTATTGTGTCATCACAAAGAATGGAGCGGTAACTATTCTCTTGTTCTTTCAGACAAACCAGCTTTCCATACAGGAGAAATGTAAGAATCCCACTGATTCCTCTCCTCCATTACTGATGAGAAGGAGGAAAAACAAAGATTGCTCAATAATTACCGTCCCACTGTCTCTGATTATTTGACTTTTCTTAAAACTGACTTTCTCTTCTAACCGTCAACGTAATTTTCGCATTACAGAGGCCGGGCACATCCAACCCCCCCC